TATATATATATATATATATATATATATATATATATATATATATATATATATATATATATATATATATATATATATATATATATATATACATATATATATATATATATATATTGTATATTATATATATATGAGAATATTCCGATACGTGAACGTAAAGTATATACTCGATACATACAATTGTGGTGAATTCCATACACACTTGCATAAACCCTAAACAAACTGCCATGCGTGGATAGTTTCATACGACCAAATTTACACATATCGGCTTTATAATATTGTATAAAAGCTCAACAAGTTGTTTTTAGACACGCTGAAATGATGCACAAAATTATACACTGGCAATGCACAAGCCTACTAGAAGCACTACAAGCGGACATACTCGTACAACCTTCTGCAGCAAGCTACAGTTGAGATACGCTGGCTTAGGCACAGGTATCCCAACGCACGCACAACACATACGTACATACATTCTTATGCAACCAGCAATACAGTACTAATTGCAGGTATATACGATGTGCAGTACTATGGTTTACAGGAACACGTACATACACGCATACTTATACAATATACAATACGGTATCAATTGCAGGTATATACGATGTGCAGTACTATGGACTGGCCATGCACGTGTCTCTGGGGAGCATCTCGCCCAGGGACATAGCCCACCAGTTTGTGCTGCAGGATACTATCGGGTTTAATCGCATTCAAGTTGACGAGCTGAAAGGTGGCAAGTTCACCAAGGACGATAAGAAGGAAACTGCCCCCAATGTGGTATGTGTGTGAGTATAGAACGAGGCCCCCATACTGGTGTTAAAAATGGGGCTGTACCAAATACAAGGCCCGTATTGCCAGCAGACTGTATGCATGTATTTAAGTACGTATATAGCAGGGGGTTCAAGGGGATGGGTGAAGTGTGTGCAGTGCTACATACGCGGTGTCGTAGTTTCAATAGTTAGGGGCAATGTGAGCAGATACAACAACGATTCCCAAGAGAGCGTACTGCGAGTAGGGATCGGTAGACTACAGTACGAAACGGAAGACGGGGAATGTTTTGTGATGTGATTTCAGGGGTCTTTTCATAGGGTATTACATTTAAATATACACTCGAGATGGCTTGTGCAGATGACTCTTTGCCGCACAGAGAAACTAAGAGACAACACCTGCCATGTCTCAGTGGTCTCATGATGTGTATGCCTTCAGCCCCACCACCCAATGTATACATATCTTCATCTGTACCATATACTTCTATTTTGCGTACTGTTCACTCTGTCCTTATATTGCGTATATGCTGATAGATACTATATCCTTGTATATCGTATATGCTGATAGATCCTCTATCCTTGTATAGCGTATATACTGATAGATGCTCTATCCTTGTATAGCGTATATGCTGATAGATCCTCTGTCCTTGTATAGCGTATATGCTGATGGATACTATATCCTTGTATAGCGTATATGCTGATAGATGCGCACACCCTGCGTATATACTATATTGATGACACAGGTCGCGTTCATCGCCCAGTTCAACGAGATGACGATGTTTGCCATCCACGCCATCTTGGCCAAGCTTGACATCCGACAGCGCGTGGCGGAGGTGGAGTACTTTGTCACAGTGGCACAGACGTGCAGAGAGCTCTATGACTTCAATGCAGTGAAGGCCGTGTTGGGAGCCCTGCAGTCTGCCCCAATTTACAGGTACGCTGCAGTTCGGTACATGCTATGGGGCCGCACGTGGCAATTGGTGTGATGGGAAGCGTTGGGGTTTGCGTAGGGTTCCCAAAGTATAGAGCGCTTCCTATGTTTGTTCTTGTATACGTGCATATATAATAGCAAAATCTGAGCTCTAAACCCTAAACTCTTAAACCATGAAACCCTAAAATCCTAAAACACATAATAGCGAAAGCTTACACACCCCATCTCGCTTCAATAAGTATACTGTACACGGACTAAAAATGACATCGGTAGGTATCGCCATGACGGTGTAATGTCACAACAACTAGATGCTGAGGCTCATTTATACACTAATACGCATAGGTGTATCCTATATCGTTTGACGCACACATACATAGCATATCGACTCACGTCCACATATACAGATGTAGTTCTGTTGCACACAAACTCACTTCACTTCCGCATATGTACTGTATGTACGCAGGCTTAGGTCTACGTGGGCAGGTATCAACAAAACGGTGCAGAAACAGTACGACGAGATGTGTGTACTCATGGGAGAGGATAACAACTTTACAGCGCTTCGCGAAGCATACAGCAACGCACGCGCACATGTGTCAGGGACTATCACGCACACACAAACGCTCACAGATACAAACACGTCTCCTACGTACGCGCCGGATGTGGCGACTACTACACCTATGTCCCTGTGTGTCAGCATGGGTATGAGCATCCAGGAAAATGTATTGCCTAACAAAGGTTCATCCTCAAAGTTATCTGCACAGACTGACACACACGCACACACACTATCACAGCCCTATACGCAATCACAAGCACACACACGCACACACACACACACGCGCGCGCCCATACCCTCCACCATGGTCACGCCCAGTATTGGTAACATAAGTGCCGATGTGGCCATCTGCACCGGAAGGTGTACCAAGAACAGTAGTACCATGAACAAGCGAAATAGCACCCCAGCCGCCTCAGCCAGCCCAACCACCACAACCACCCCTACGTCTCCCATGCGATCATGCTCGCCGAACGGGTCACGTTCAGGGTCACCAACACACACCCAAACACATATATCCAAGCATTCTCCGTCACGTGGGCGTGCATCCAGCCCAACGTACACGCCTGCGCACTCTCAGCGAGAAAGGAGACGGCTACGCGGCAGTAGTAGCAGTGGCACAAGCACGACGCGCATGGAGAGTGTATCGAAAAGCCCCGTGAGAGGGAGTTCCGGGGGTGCGGGGGAGTGGTCTACGGGGGGCGGTGATATGGGGTATGGAGAAGGTGGAAGTAGTAGAGGTAGTCATATGGGTTATTTGGAATACCCAGAAGAGGATACGGAGAGACGCTCATTGCTACACACGTTGACACATCTGAACACGATCGACAGTGTGGGGTGTGAGAGTGGGAGTGTTGGTGGTTGCCATGTTAACGATGGGTTGGGCACTGGCACGCCCACACCGACGATGACACCCGTGCTGACACCGACACGTCCGCTGAGTGTGAATATGAATGCATCTGCGAGTGTAGAGGTTGATCTGTGTATACCTACACACATACACACTCGCGCAGATACGAATACACCACCACCACCTACAGATGTAGAAACTCACACACAAACACACGAAGCTTCACTCGGTGTATCGGATGCAGGTGCAACCGATGAAAGACCCGCAAGCAGCACCGTAGCACACACACCCAACGACGATACAGATAACGCACCTGAAAGCCTGATGGGGGGCGGAAAAGGTATTGTAACTGGCGACAGCGAAGATGTCAGTGCGTGTGCTGAACCTCCATCGAAGGGCCGTAGCCGTACTAAGGCAGGCCCAGACACTCTGGTGCCGAGAGCGATACCTTTCTTGGGCATGTTTTTGACGGATCTGATATATGCGGATGTGGCGCTGGCGGACAACAAGGAGGAGCGAGACAAGCAGACCATCGAGATCATCGAACGTAGTGGCGTGGGGGCGCAAGTGGTTGAGAAGGAAGCACGTATGCGTGCACGGGCCCAAGCAGCGCGGCTGACCCAGGCCAACAGCACGGATATAGGGGACGTTTTGGGGGCATCTAAGAGTGAAGAGGTTGGGGTACATGAGGCGGAGTGTACCATCTACGAGGCAATGCACACGCACGGTACGAGTGTGTACTCTAGCACTACCACCAGTCTGTGTACCGTGGGGACCAATAGCATAGACAGCCTGTGTACCGGAATGGGATTGGGAGTGGATATCGGGACGGGCGTAGGAGGGGTTGATAAACCCTCCAGGCAAGACTTCAGCATGTCTATGGACGATACCCTGTTAGACAGCAACGCTAGCGGGGCCAGTCACCACAAGTATTCGGGTGTACATGCAAACAGCACGTACAGTCGCGGTGCTTCTGCAAGCACAGATGCATTGGGTGTTGCGCTCGGTGAGCATCGCAAGTCAATTCGGACCCACTCGGATGTGCCCTCGCGCAAACGGGAGGGGGTGTCCCATGCACTCGAAGCATTCAATGACAGTCTGGGGGACAGCCTCGTATATGGCCACGAGGGGTATGTGCACGTGTATGTGGAGTATGTGTATGCAGACTTGTGACTGTGTATACATACGTGTATTCTTCAAGTGTATGTACGTATATGTGGAGTTTGTGTATACAGACATGTGACTTGTCCTTGATACACAGGATTTACAACTGTCATCTTATCTTTTCCGTCAACGCGCCCACCATTTCACGCAGGATTCCAGACAAGAACAGTTAGACGATATTTGCTCATATACGGGTAACTCGTGTATAGATCACCTTCGCTACATAGAATAAACTGAAGTTGTTTGTTCCAAAATAACACATATCTGCACCTGGTTTCTATTGTACAGCAAATCTCGAGCCGCGAAGACAGACACAAAGCTCAATATACCTACTACCAGGGTGCGTGCATGGTCAAATGGAATATGGTACAAGGCAAAGGAGCCTTCATGGGAAGCAGTCAATGCCCAGCCCAGAACGCGTACACCTGTGTCTGAGAAGAAGGACTTGGGTGCACAGACAGGTGCAAATAGCAGCCGCCCTACAGCGAGGGTGAAGCAAGGGGGTAGGAAGGCTACCAGCAGTGCACATTTGAGACCCATTGTGGGCCTGTCCAGTTATATGCAAGGGCTGTCAAGATTCACAGTGTTGATGGATGAGCGAGAGGCGTATAACCTGTCCCTGCGATGCGAGCCGAAGGCTGACCGCACGCATAGGCCTGAGCAGCAGTGGAAGGTGGGTGTTGGCACGTGATTCGGTCATCATATTGAGATTCCGATTCATTGTTTATCCCCACGAAAGCAGAATACAACTTCGCATAGGCACAAACCAAACAACTCATCCAAATTTAACTCGTTCTACGCAGCAGTTTTCTATTCAACGTCGTGCTCTGCTCTGTATCACTCGCGTGCGTATCCTACAGAGCCGTCTGCAGCATCAAGTTGATTGTACCAATTCGTCCCAATGGCGAACTATAGTTCGAACGAGGCTACTAGATTCACCTTTACATTTATAAATGATTTAAAAAAATTATATATCAGCCAGTAGATGGCGATTGAAGAACAGGCGGGCAGCGACACACCACTCATATTATATTGTACCGTTTGCTACGTATTCATCTTGCAGGTGATCGATCCAAAACTGTTCGACACTGACTCACTCCATGGGAGCACGCCGGATACGATACTCAAAGCACTAAACATATTCGATGAGAGGCTCGACCGTTTGCATATGCGCTTGCAAAGGTAGGATCTAGCTCTCGCTAAGGTGTGGGGCACGCTGCAAATGTGACTATGGCAAACTGGATGGTGCTTGTGCTGTGGCTTGGCTGCTTGTGTAGCCGGCTGTTTTCTGCGCGCATACACATATTATATATTGTAGATAACCAAAGCTGGATATGTATGTAGTCGCATCTATTCTGTGAATGCGATGCATACACTCATGGATGCAAGCACAGCTGAACAGAAGGTTCCGCGTTGTGAAGCAAAACAGATGCGCAAGTCCAATAGATTATCAGTCTCTGTGCATATTTATGTAGGTTTTGTACTATAAAATTACGTAGTGCATGTGTGGGTGTGCTAAAGTGTTAGATGCGCAAGTCCAATAGATTATCAGTCTCTGTGCATATTTATGTAGGTTCTGTACTATACAAGTACGTAGTGCACGTGTGGGTGTACTTAAGTGTTAGATGCGCAGTCCAATAGATTGTCAGTCTCTGTGCATATTTATGTAGTTTTTGTACTATACAAGTACGCAGTGCACTGTACGTACAGAGAGGTAAGTTTGCGGTATTCATCTCAACACGAGCGTTTTTATATCTGGAGATTGATTCGAATCGGCATACTTACATCAGTTGGAACTGAATTATTCGGTTGTATTCCGAAGACTTTCCTCCCACCCACTGCATTATCTGCAATTTGTGAGTTAAGCTTTAAAGGTATAGATGCGTATTGTCATTTCTAATGATAGATACATGGGTGAAAAACATCAGTGGACGCACTGGTTAGATAAAGAATCGAGCTTCTGCATCACCCGCTACTAAACTACCGACTGACTATCACCTGCTCAACAATGCATAGCCTAGCTGTATCGAATAATCAGTCCAAAGGCGAATGACCATGGTTTGTCGTAAACACTGCTAAGCGAAAGCTTATACTTTCCAGCAGTATTTTTTTTCTAGCAAGACCCCTCCCACGTTCGAAGATGTAGCTCTCGCCACGTTTGATATCATGTGCGCAGTTGTGCGCCTTAGGATACCAGGCTTAACCCATGGCAGATGTCAAACGAAACGGCAAACGTGGACACAACAAGCTGCTGCATATAGTACGGTCAATTTGTGAACTTATTGCTTGGTTTTTAACTCAGCTATGTGTATGTAAGAGGTATATGAAACATAGATACACCCTGGCAGGCGCGAAGGAGATAGTAATGTGTATGCATTGAATTCAGCTTTCATACTCTTCCATTCAATTATTCAATCCATTCAGCTACGAACTTGCAGCACCCGTGTATCTAAACCGCGTACTTCGTTTTATCCATTTGCCACTTAAGCTACAAAACGATGAACGATGCACCTGACAGCAGCTCACGCGATTGCCTCGTGCCACTGCCGCCTGGACCAACCGCTGTCACCATCACAGACGACAATGAAAACGTATGCCATGCATGTGCAATCCCACAGTATCATACGACATGTCAATGAAAACGTATGCCATGCATGTGCAATCCCACAGTATCATACGACATGTTAATGAAAACGTATGCCACGCATGCGCATACTTGCACTTTGTACGTAGGCTGTCTACTCAGCCCACTCAAGTATGAGGTTTAATCCCCACAGTATCATACGGTATGCCGGTCTGCGCCAGTGTCGTTTGTTCTAGCGCCATAAGTACTACAGGAATGATTTGCTATCGAGTTCACTGGTCGCTGTCACTCCTCGCTTACGTTCTCTGCTTTGCGTTCGTTTTCTTCATCGCAAAATTGTCCTCTGAGATTGACAAATTCCTTTACTTTTTAATCAAATGAAGGATAAGAGTGTACGTTGCTGCGTTTATGAAATATCATCCGCATATACTTCTAGAAGTGATTGCATTACTTTTGTATTTTATCGTTAATAACTCTTTAATTATTATCCTAGTGGCCTGTCTTTAACATGATGGCAATACCTTTTTATTTTACAATCCACTGTCGATTTACAAACAGAGAGTACTCGAATAGTGCAACACCATAATATAAGGAAGACGTTGTGTGTGTATATGTGTTCTATTGCTTATCGCCTGAACTATACCAACGCACGCGCTACGTTATATTAACTCAACTACAGTCAATAGAAAAGCACATCTACAAAGATCAACAATTTATCACCAGCGTGAGGTTTACAGAATCGAATTAGCAAGCAGTCCCATCTTACCTTGACGGATCCACACACACCCATTGAGTAAGACATCACACACAGATGAGATATTCTTTCTCAGATGAAGCACGCACGTCTCAATGATGCACTGACTCTCTTATGTAATTTTTTGGTCATTGCTTACAGCTGTGGTCGTTCCAGTTGCACATTACACAACTGCGCCGGATGTACAAACAGGCCATTGCAGCGCAGAAGATCACAGCCCCTGCATCGCCAAACACACCCAAGGCTTCGCAGACTGTGGTAGGCGAACAGGCAGATGACACAGAGGAGAAAATTACTTCCTTGGCAACCGACCCATGTTGCCATGACAACGACGGACGGGCGGGCGGCGAGAGGCATACACTCGCGCTTCGTCCGTGCGGCAGCATTGATTCGACGTCCATGCCGGCGTTGCCTAGCAACCGGATGGCCAATGGTATTGATAAGAAGCGCGAATCGTTTACTTCCAATGCGAGTACGATAGGCCCAACGACAGATAACCCCTCAACGACACGAGAGGGGCGACCACCACGACCAAGCAGCATTGACCTCAACAAGCACAGAGCCGACAAGACCGCTGAGGTGTGTTGGGGGTGTACTTTAGAGTATATGCCGCTCAGATAGCGGGATTTATTTTTACTTTGCGAAATTCTCGAGTGTCAAAGGAATTCGATATCGTTGAATGTCCTGTGCTGGGTTTGCGCATGTCGCGTGTGCTGTGGATGTCATGCCGGCTGATGTATACTTTACCGGTACCTTTTGAAACAGATCATTGATCGGATAGGATCCAAAACATGTGCTACTGAAGTGGCACACCTTTTCTGATTCTGATACCACCACGTGTCCGTTGGAAGCCACTCGGATTTAAAATTTAAAGGTTTAGGGAGTAGGTTTTTAGCGTTAGAAATTACTATCACTTTTCTTGTCACTTGCGACCTATGCCCCATACATCAGAACTGTACTAAATCGACCTGCTTTTCGATTTCACAGTACTCCGATGAGGTGCCCGCGTCGCCCAAAACTCGCAACAAACGAGGTAAGATACTCAGCCCAATTTGCATTTTGTCGTCAGGTTGGATAGTGAAAGGCGTGTTTTCTCTCCGCCTCTCATTGCATTCATGTCGTAATAGTGGATAAAGACAGGCTTGATGATTCTCCGCATCTCGCTGCATTGAATAAGCCAAAAAAAAAAAATTTGAAAGCTATGGCACAATTAAGACCTCTCATCAGAGCCTTGATACAAACCATTGGGGGATGACATACACGCCAGTATAGAAATACCGCTTATCTTGGCACATTTGTGTCTTCTTTTGTGGCTTGCTCAATGACTCTTTTGCGGCGTGCGCTCATCGGGGAGGTTGTACCCGTATCTGTAGCTGCCAACTTCCCTCCAATCAGTCTACCTCCTTGCCGCCCATCACCACATACCAGAGTATCGGGCACACACCGATGTGAATTGGGTTTTTAAGTATATGAAGTATATCTGCTTGCTAACCCTCTATCCGCTGAATACAGCAAATAGAGTATTGCCGCATACGCTGAAACTAACCCACCACCTTTACCCCAGGTTGGCACGCATTCTTCGGACGGTCAAAGAAGCAAGGTCATAAAAACAGTGTCCCTGGGACAACTTCACAGCAAATGTCTCAGCTGTCGCTAGCCACATCAATTCGTGCGTATGATGTGCGCAACGAAATTGTACAGTTATATAAATGAGTGTGATATTCTGAATATAATGCACATATGTGTTAGTCCCTGCGTGTATTGCGGCGCTACTAGGAAGCCATTGATTTCTCATGTACATATCGAGCATACTATGCATGCCCACTTGACTATAGATGCATACTTCTGCGTGATCGAGGGAACCATCGATACTCTCGAGTACATAGGTAGACGTGTTCGTACTTATAATCCACACCTTCGGTGTGGCCAAAGGATGTGAAATGATTGTGCGCTTGAGTGGCAGAGGGCAAGATACCAATTTCTCAATTTTAGGCATTTGACAATCCATAGATCATAGAGCAAGCACGGCTACTCAGGGGATTCAAAATCCAGAAAGAGATAGTACGTTAATAGACAACGCTATGTCTCGGATATAATATAACTGATGTATCTTTAAGCCGTCAACATCACAAAACAGCGCAACAACGCACATTATGCATCATACAGGCGTTGCACTCTATCCTGACGCATACCGCCTCGAAACCGTACTTTCAACCTGTTACAGAGCCTGAGACCAAGAACACGCCAGATGGGCAACCAAGCGAACCAGCAACCACACCGCAGAAAGAGGTGCTAGACGACACCCCTATACGCCGCTTCAAATCGATGGAGAGTGTGTTCCGGGTGTCGAAGCAGAACAAGGTTTTCCCCAATACCGGGATGAATACCGGTACGCAAGTGCAAGAAGGCTGTCAGGCAGCACACAGACAACAAGGGAATAAGGTGTCGGGATTTGGTGTAAATGGGAAACAGAGACTCAGTGTTAGCTCAGACGCGATAGACAACCTGGAGCTGCAGACGCGTACGCAAACACGCGCACTGGCAGACACACTCGCGCTGGCGAATGCGCACAGCGCTCTGAGTGAAGATAAAGACGCATTGCAGTTCAAAGGAAGGGGGAGCGTGACGGCTGGAACAAACACGAATATGAATGCGTTGGGCCGGAGAGCGACCAAGCGACTGCTCAATAGGAAGAAGAGTGTGAAGGTGAGATATGCCGACCAGGAGACGAACAAGGTGGCCCTGACGGCCACTGTGAGTGTGCAGATGTCTGCGACCGTGCACTTTGCCACCAGCCAAGCAACGGACACAGCCCATCCCCTGAGCGTTAGCACCCTCCAGCTGAATGTTGACTCGGCTGCGCCAAAGAGCACACTATCAACCACCCAGACACACTCGCCCACTCCTACGACGCGCGTACACTCTGAGTTCCCCAGTGGCCGGCGTCTGGTGCGCAATAGCATCGCATCACTGTGTCCGGGCCAACTCGAGAAGCAGAGCGGGTACGCTGACGAGGCATTCTTCGACAATCCCGTGTACACTCCCGCCCGGCGCAAAAGATCAGACGCGCAAACCCACACGCGGGTCTATTCCCCACCGACTGGTAATCTACATCCGGCGTCGCACGCAAATAGCGCGCGAAATATGCACACTCGCCGCGAGACCAACACGCGCGTTCAAGCGCCCAGCAGTGGCCCTAGATATCCTTTGAGCAATTGCTTGCACGCTGTCGCTGATCCCAAACACCGACGCGGCAACTCGAGTCGCGTGTGTGCACAAGCCAGAAGTCCAGACAAGGCGCCTGTGGATCACCGGAGAATAGAAGGGACTGTGTTGGACGAGCCGCAAATGCAAGGTATGGACAGACTGAAGAGCAGGGCTAAGAGTATGTACAGCCGAATGAACGAAGGCGAGTATGCAGCTGCGTGGACTGCTTCGAGGTACTCTGTGGGGCCTGCCGGTGGGGTCGGTCGGCGGCGGAGTTCCGAGAGCAGTGTGAGTACTTGTGAGCAGGAGTGTGGGAGTGCTGAGGCTGCGGACACTCTGAGCTGGCGTGTCAACCCGCTCCAATACGAGCGGATGGTACTTGTAGACGACAGCGGCCGCCCTACCCACACCCCCACCCCCAACGCCAGCCCCTGGGAGCCAGTACACGCGAGTGCCAATGCAAATTCGGCTGACAGAGACCGCGCACATCACGCGTTAGACACACGCTTCATCGCACTGCCAAGTACAGATAGCAGTGCGTCTACCGAGACCGTGTCTTCCCAGGGGAAGGCATCGCGTATGAGTTTGTCGATGTCCCCGCCGTCGGTGCGGCGGGAAAGTGTCCGGTCTGTGCTTGTGGATCCGATCTGTCTGTCAGGGGACGAGGCGAGCGATGCCGATTCAGCTGATGCAGCCGATGCTGAAAGGCGCGAGGGCCATGGCTATGAGCAGGCCCAACAAACATACGAAGATCAGTGTGGGGAACAACCGGGTGAGCACAGTTTGCAAGATGCTCGAGCGTTGGAAGGGGCTGGGCTAGACCGCGTGCGTGACAGCGAGACAGGCGATGCAGACCTGAACGCAACCAACTCAGAGGCACGGGGCATATGGACCAATGCAGGCCAGCCCACACGTGGGACAGGCACTGGAGTGCATGGGGATGACCGCGAGATGCGCCGGAATACAGTCAACGCCGGAGCTTACGACGAGAGTGGCTCGGAAAGCAGACGTGTGGTCTCAGACTGTGCGCAGGGGATGGCAGAGACGGAGTGTCGCGAGTCTGTTGCCCCGACGCCCGTCACGCCGCGTGTGATCCACAGAGATGTGCTAGACAGCTACGTACCAGATAACGAGCACGGGAAAGTATCAGATAGCCTACACAAGGCCAACACACACAGTACAGACAACCGGCTGGTTTGTGACGTGGGCAGGGGCATGCATAACACGCTCGATGACATGCCCCATGCGCCCGTGGGAAAAGCATTCTCGTTCGGAAGTGAGAGCCTCATGGCACGCAAGGATAGCAGAGGCAGTGATAATACACTGGACAGCGCATCTCGCTCACGAGACGTGTCTATCACCGGCAGCCGTACCATCAGCCTCAGCAGCGCCAGCGCGTTGAACAACATCCACAGTCGGACCTCCGGGAACAGTCTGCGTGCGTCCCTGACCAACAACAGTCGGTCGAGCACCAGCAGTAGCATTGCGGACAAGCTCAAGCACTCGCCCGATGTGGTAGGTAAGGTCACCCGTGCGCGTTCGTTCTTCGAGTGTCTGCCCACGACTGTCTCGCCCAACCCAAGTGTATTGCGGCGTGAGAGAGATGTGCAGTACAAGACGTACTCGCACACACGCGCGGTGATAGAGAGTGCGTGCGAGGATGAGTCACTTATTTTGAAACATCGTAGGCGGACAGACGAGGACCTGCGGAGTGGATCAGGGGCGCACAGTAGTGTGCGCACACGTGTACGCAGCTATGCACAGCCACCCGGCGAAACAAACATAGCAAGGTGAGTGTGGGAAACAAGCATAGCAAGGTGAGTGTGGACACCCCACTGCGGTGGACATTCTGTATCGATCGTGTCCGCGCACCAGTAATGTTATAGTGTGTGTGTGTGTGCTGTTGTTCTTGCTCCTGGTTCTATGCACACGTGTATAAGCTGGCAGTTGTGGGTGAGTGTGCGCTTGACGACTCGCCATACATACACCGCAAGTTCAGTATACAGCTGCTAGTAGTAGCCGGTCGGACGACGTGGCCGTATACGTATACGCATGAGCAGCATTCAAGATGGCGCACAGTACGCATACATATGACACCCTCCAAGACACAACTCAGTCTTCGATCTAGGTTCTCCACACAGATTTACATCCACAATTGTTTTGGTCACAGTGGCTTTACTATTTGCCCTCCCACGTGCGGCTGCATCGTTGTCTGACCATTCGTCTAGCTTGGATTTTATCGCTTCATATACTGGTCGGATCCGCTGTCTTGCTCGCTGCAATTGTCGGTAGAACCGACTAGTAGGCCCCGACATGCGTATACGATGATGATATTTCAGGCGTTGAAAATTTGTAAGCAACCCTTCTGACGTTAATATGTAGGTTTCTCTCATGGAGGAGACATCCTGGATAATACAGGCGTGATCACAGAACTCGGAGAAGATTATACTTGTAACGCCATATATATATATATACGAAGTCAGTTATAACCGTACGTATTTGCATCGCTATCTGTCATAGCTAGAATTTCCCCATCGCCACTTATCCGAATCATCCACCACTATCAATTGCTTCAACTCGTTCACCTAACTACCCACCCTCGAAAAATGCTGACTTTCGTACACATTTGCCTTACTCTCCATGCTACAGAAAGGGATCGGCGTTTACAGGCTCGGGTTCAGGGGTTGAAGCAAGCCTAGCCCAGGCAATCTCAGAGCGTCAGCTTGAGCTGCTAAGTCTGAGTGAGATGGTTCTCTACTCCGCACAAACAGGGCCGAGCCAACCGCCCCTGACTCAGACAGAGGCCACCGCCAAGATGCGAGCGCTCATGCACACCCAGGCCACGGCTATCGACACCCTGGTTGGATTGTTATCCCAGGGGTCCGCGTAGATCCGTGCGCATCCAATGTGTAGTATAACGACTGCAAACCAGTGAACATCGTCAAAATACTGGTCTCCACTGTCCCAGCAAACAACAATTGTTCCGCAATTGACCACTGTAGTATACGTCCTTGTGGACCCCATCCACACAGTCGGCAATATCGAGATATCGTCGCCAATGAGACTGTTGGGCGTGACAGAAGATAGGACGCATGCACCTGCGCCATGTGCTGCGACTATCTGAGATATGGATTAGGCTGACTTTGCAACTCGCATCAAAAACCTTGTTTGTAGTGGAAATGGGTTCAGAGAAGTACCCTCACAATCATCTCTATATACGAGAATGATCGATCCCCACCGTCCATACCACATAGTAGCCGGCGTATCAAATAGGGCCTCTAGATCTCCAGAGGAGTGTGCATAAACACTGATATAATAGTACAAAGCAATGTGTAGACAGGGGTACCGCACCTCATAACACGAATTCAACCTGTGAGATATTCAAGTTAAAAGAATGTCCCTGCGTATTCCTTCCGCGGTAGTTTATGTATGTTTATATGCAACGATTAACCTCAACTGCGAGGCACTAAGAAGTGGGTCATATTGCTACAGTATTTTTCAGATCTTCTATATTGTACTAAACACACACATTCGAATTGACCCTTCGTCGGAGCGGACTCCAATAACCAAGCACCGACATATTAAAACTTCTACCATATCACAACAATCACTGTCATTCAATTTTGAACCACATCCCAACAATTCAATACCGACATCACAACAATGCAATATCGGTTCACTGACATTCAAATTGTACACAATCAAAAATGGAAAGTAATTACTAAAGGGAAAGTTAAGATAAAGATTCACGAAGGTCTTCAGTGCTTCGCGAACGAATAACCGAACAGCGCTGGCCTATGGTTTAGTGCTGAATCGTTTATTAATTTGGAAACGACGTTCAGCTGCATCAATTTAAGAATTCCAATTTCTGTAGGGAAGGAAAGGAAATATAATATATCATTTAGAGTATGTTCAATTCGTGGATCACTTCAATATACACTCCGGTATGTCTGTCACAAAAAAATGGTAATAATTCAGTGGTATACCCCAATTTTCCAAATCCCATCATACGTCCACAGTACTAAAAAAAAACCCATGTAGTCTTAACACCACTACAAACACCGCCCGCTTACCTGACTTTTTAAGAACCTCGCCTCGTCATCACCCTCGGGTAAGATCTCCGACCATTTCAGGCCACTTTCAGTCCATACGGCCTTGGCTTTCTCCTCGTTCTCGGTCTTCTGCACATATTTAACCAGAGCAGCAATGGTTTTAGCGGGAGCGTCGCTCATAAGTTCTCCTCGTACTTCCTCTAAGGCGGGCACTTCTTTAACTAATTGTTCCAGCTTGACCAGTCCTGAGAATAGCGCGGAACCCACCACATCTGCGATGTATTCGGGCGCCTTGGGGGCGTCGCATGTGATGTCATCTAAAGCCGGCATCTGCAAGCGAGCAAAGAGAAACAATGTCATTAGTGGGGGGGGCGTAGTAACTCTGGTCTTAAGAGGCAATTCAAACATCGAGCAGTTCGCATTTGTTCTTCCGTGCTGAAACACCTACCAATTCGTTCAATCCCTTGGCGATATCTGAGCCTGTGTGAAGCTTCGCCTCGCTAATAGAAATATACAATTTTGAAATTTTATCGCGCTTGGCCGTCTTCGCTTCTATGGCCTGGTTCAGTACTACATCCGTCATAAGAGGTGCGTGTTGTGCGTTGCCGAGTTCCTTGAGTGTGGTAAGCATGTCCTCTACTTCACCAGACACTATAGCCTGGTTAAGGATGGCCAGGAACTTTTTTTTGAAATCCTCTGGTGACAGCTTGACCTCTTCAGGCTTGGGCACAGCCGGTGCTTCGTTATTCTAAAAACGGTAGGTGACATGGCGAAACACCATAGAATATTAGCAACGGGATAATTGAGAGGGAAAGCTAAGGCTCACATAAATACAAGCATCAGCGTCTATGTTATGCTCATGTACAATACATGCCTTGTAAGAACAAAAGTATGTGTGAATTGATGCCTGCGAATGCAACTTTAGAACTGACTATCAGGAATAGAGAGAGATTTCGTCGATATATAAATAGAATTAGCGCGCACAATGCATCATAGGGTCAGCCGAAACGTAAACTATTCGATTTTTCCCAGTTAGAACTTGCACACTCGAATTCAATTCTATTTTGGAGCAGCTGGCTATCTGATCTCAAAAGGGGGCGATTTTTCTCGCTCACGTTCAATTCTTCAGCGCACGCATAACAAACGGCATAGCAACAGCCTCGGGTACCCGCAATTCAATATATGCGTGCACATTCTTCGATGCATAAGAATGCATTGAGAATTGTCAAACGTAAACACATTATATCTATCCTCAGATGCACACCCATACACACCTGTTTCGGCTTAAGTTGCAATGGACCCCTGAGCTTGGGCGCCTTCTCTTCAGAACTACCGTGATCGTTGAGCATGGAGAAGGCATTGCCCCTCCTGCCCGCACCTGCGGCACCACTACCACTGCCCCCACCGGGACCTAATCTAACACCTCCACTATCTAAAAGGTTAAGGTTCAGTTGTATTAGTAGAGGTCAAGTTGGCCTGAAACCTCCGCCTTCGCCATCTTAAGAGAACGAAGCTTTCGTATTTCAGAGTATTAAACAAGCATACGTGCCTTCTGAGCACATCCATTTTTTCCTCTATTATCTATAAGGTGGACCAATTGTCTATGACGAGTTCGTTGAGGACAAAACAAGCAGGGAGTACTGTGATCTAAAACTGTACCTCACTACGACATTGGACCGAAGAATCAAAGAATAACTATCCGCTCTACGCGTTCACATACAAATACGTTCATATCCACTAAATAATAATTGCATCACATGCATGAACATACCTAAATGGCCGAAGCCTCTACCAGCATTACTATTACCTCCCGGGCCCAGCACAACCCCAGCACCACGGTCACCCTGTGACGGCGCTCGACTCTGTAGCGATCGCAGCGCACCGGCATCCGCCCTCGTGCTCGGTTGCCTCGCCTGTACAGTGTTCCACCCATCGTTGGACTGGTTATTGTTGTTGTTGCTGTTGTTGTTTCCGTAATTATTCTGTTGCCTGCCACCGTACTGGTTATTGCTCCGCGTGCCCCTGCTGTTGTTATCCCTGTTGTGGCTGTCGTGTCTGCCTCCCCCAGCGTGTCTCTGCTCTATTTTCTTGGCTTCTTTGGCCGCCTCCCTGTGGATGTCCTCGATCTTCTTGGGACCGGCATCGCCCTTTCGGGGGACCCACTTCATCCTTCGTAAATCAATGATATCCATAAGAATGCACCGCACACGTGATGACAGGGTCTTCTCCTCGGACAACTCGCGGATACGATCAAAGTACGTATCCATCATCTTCGCCGCGTTGGGCACATCGAGCATCTTACCCACAGTCTCCATCAGATTGCTGAGACACACCAGGTCCTCTTCCTCCGGTAGCTTCTGCTTGCCCTTGCCCTTCAACAGGTCGTATATACACGAATGGATTACCTTCTCATTCAAGATGGACAGCTTAAACAACTCTCCGATGAACTTGATGTTACCCACTTGCCTGAGTTTCGCTCTGACAACCTTCTCGTCCATCTCCTCAGCAGCCACACCCTCCTGAGACGCAAACACCTGCTCACGCTCGAACTCAGTTTGGCATCTGTTCAACAAAGTACGTCTAAACGAGTTGACATTACTCGTCTTGGCCTCACCCTCGCCCTTGAAGTTGTACTTCTGGTTGCTCAAATCCTTACAAAGGCGCGCATACAGCCCAGAAAACCCTGGTTCATCCAAAGCCTTGTCAAATAGCAGGTCAATGACCGCCTTTAACCGGGCCTCGGACGTAATAGGGAGAGACAACAGTTGCTTTCCGATTTTGTCGTACTTCTCCACAGTAAGCTTGTTCAGCAAGGCCTTACCGTTACGTACCATCAACTCTATCTCCATCACCTCCTTCTTTACCTCGTCCTCGATGGCATCCGTATTTATCGCCGCCTTTGGCTTCCAGGCATTCTCGCTACTCTTCGGTAGCGGCACGTACGGCGCCAGAGCCTCTACTTTGCCCTCTCTGTTAATAAACGTGGTGGGTGGCGGTTGGTTCTGTTGGTTATTCCTCTGGTTGTAACCTCTGTTACCACCGCCCCCACGCCTACCCTGAGAGTGTTGCCTCTGTCCCTGACCACCTTGGCCACCCCCGGCCGTATAGTTCCTGGGTGTGCTGAACTGGTGGTTTCTGTCGCCTCCGCCACTCTGCATACGGTTCATGCGTTGACCTCCCGCACGCCCTCCCAGCGGTTGCGGCACTACATCGACAGCCACCTCGGGGTGCATGATCATATCCCTCGGCGCCTTGACAATCAGTGACTTGAACATCTTCAGGAACTCCATCTCGTAGCACTTCTTGCCTGTCTTGTCACTGGGGGACCACGTACCCTCAGGGTACACAGGCTTTACCACCGTGGGTTCGCCCTTCTCAATGGCTGTGAGCTCGCCATCCAAGGCCTTCATCGCTGCGCCCATATTCTTCTTCTCCTCGCCATCTTTGCCCTCAGCATCCACCGGAACCCCAGCCTTAGCTGCTGCCTCCTTCAGACTCTTCTCTTCCGCTTTCTTGGCTTCCTCGGCTTTAGCCTTCTCTTCCTGGGCCTTCTTCTCAGCCGCCTCTTTCTCGACCTTTTCCTTCTCTTCCTGGACCTTTTTCTCAGCCTCCTCCTTGGCCTTCTTTTCAGCCTCCTCCTTGGCCTTCTTTTCAGCCTCCTCCTTGGCCTTCTTTTCAGCCTCCTCCTTGGCCTTCTTTTCAGCCTCTTCCTTAGCCTTCTTCTCCGCTTCTTCCTTGGCTTTTCTCTCAGCCTCTTCCTTGGCTTTTCTCTCGGCCTCCTCCTTTTCCTTCTTCACACGCTCTTCCTCGACCCTCTTCTCCTCCGCCATACGAGCCTCCTCGGCCTTCTTTTCTTTCTCGGCCTTGTCTTTTTCCTCCTGCGCCAACCTCTCTGCCTCTGCCTTCTCCTTGGCTATCCTCTCTTCTTCAGCTTTTGCAGCCCTTTCCTTCTCTTCTTGTGCCTTTTTCTCGGCTTCTGCCGCCTTATCGTCGCTCACTTTTCCCGCCTTAGCGTCAGCCGACTTTGCCTTCTCCTCAGCGGCCTTTGCCTCAGCCTTCTTCACCTGCACCTCTTTGCCAGAGTTCGGGTCTATGATCTGCAATGCACACGACTTGCGCACACGTGGTGGTTGTGTCTGTGTGGTTGGCGCACCTCCCAAGGCCCCGCTGGGCACACCTCCGCCTTGTATACCGCTGTAGTACTGTGTTGGTATACGTGCGTAGGGAACGGTTTGATTGTGAGTGGAGGAGACTGCGTAGAGTGCGTGTATGTGTGCTACACAGTGCAGGTTTGCGTTTCGTGGTACAACCGTGTTACAAGTTCTGTGTATGGTCCGATTGAAAACGTAGCGGAAGGGTGTCCGTGAAGTGCGCGCAAGTACTTATGTGCAATCTTACGTGATGCTGCAAAATTTTCAACACCCAGAACAGCCTTCCTTCAGAGATAAAACGAAACACGCGGTCAACACACTCCAAAGGCCACAAGCTAGCCCCACACCCGTCATACACAATCAATATGAAAAGCAAAGTAGTAGTCAGTCAGACATGAGCAACCGCCCGCGCGAACCCACACCCCGACTTCAGCTTGCATAAACGAAACGAACACACCTGAGTGCCACTAGGCGCGTAGTACGGTTGAGTGTATTGCTGAAACGCCCCGAACTGGGGTGGCGGCACAAACCCGAAATTCGGTCTGATATTGTACGGCATCTGATGGTGGAACTGGCCTCTCCCACCACCCTGTTGCTGCGGAAGCATGCCGTTGCCACCATTGGTTCCTTTCGGCATGTTGGGTCTGGGACCACGTGGCTGGTGCTGCTGGGGTGGGGGTGCGCCTGATTGGTTGGGGTTGAATGGTGGGGGCGCTTGCTGCTGCTGCTGCCCCTGAGGACCTCCTTGACGTGGCTGTTGGGTTAGATATGTAGGTGTGATTAGATTTATGAATGCATGTGAGTGACTGCTTGGTCTGAGGTGAATACTGAGAAGTCTGAATGCACTGGTGTGCATGTGTTTCTTAGCAGCACTACCACGACAGTCTCCGACAAATATAGATCGTGCTTTTTTAGGACTGGCCATATCACACAGAGGTGACAACTATTGGGACAGAGTAACAATCAAACTTTTAAGTACACACGCTCGTACATACACGCACACTGATATACGCAGGGCGCGAGCTCTCACAAGCAGCTGTTTTAATTTTGTACAAAGTTCTTTGAACTTTGCCAGCAATCTCATCAAACATGTAGTGACAATATGAGATCCATGGTGTCTTCCGATTGCCACATACGCCGGAAAATACCAAACACATACAGCACATATACACAAATCTCACTATCTCTTATTGCAAAACAAACCATATTCTTGTCAGTCCCCTGAGCGTTGTCTGCTCCTCTGCTGCCCTCTGTAATATGAAGAAACATCGCCATGAGATAAACATTTGGAGGTCATATCACATAACACAGGCGGGCATCGACACATCATGCAGCAGTTGATTGAGAGTGATTGAGCATTTGATACTACGAGATGGACAACCATGCGACATCACTGAATCATCGCGTAACACGGCTAGTTGTGATTAAGAACTTGGATGCAGCTGTAATTGAATATGAAACAGCAAAGTCTACGCCCAAACACAACCAACCAACCAGCAATAATCTCAATCTGTAAATCAGCCAAAGCAGATTAGACAACAACAAGCAGTGATAGACCGAACGGATACAATGCACAAAATAAATAGCATAGCGTAGCGGTAAACTATAGTGGAACATATACAAAAACAACAATAGACTTACACGTGATTGCGTAGCAGTTAGCATTGTCACAACGGACACTCATGAATGTGAAGTGTGCGAACTAAAAAGAATAAAGATCATGAATACTCACGATTTATAGTTTGGCGATCGCCTTTAGAAGCACCATTTCTCGCTCCCCTACTATTATGATTATTTGACATGAGTCGGATAAAGATCTACCTGCCAGGTGAATTGGGAACAGAAAAACGTTAGTCGCTCGCTTTTAAACGTGAGATGAGTGAAAAAACGAGGACTAAGTCTCCCCCCGTCACATCATGTACATACACTTTTACTACACACAGATAAATCTTACAACATACATCAATGCAATCACGCATAGATGCATCCATTCATACATATATACCTATGCACATAATATACATCCATTCAAATATTCATATATTCGTCCACAAATACATTCATATATGCATACATGCACACAACTATGCATATATATATATATATATATATATATATATGTATATATATATAATAATATATATATATATATATATACTATTATATATATATATATAGTATGTGTGTTATAT